TTGGAGGCAGTACCTGTATGGAGAATCTTGCCAAATATTTACAGACCATCGAGTTTGAAGTGCCTCTTTACCCAAAAGGAATTAAATATGAGTCAACGACGATGGTTAGAACTAATAAAAGATTATGACCTCTCTATTAATTATCATCCGCGTAAAGCTAACGTGGTAGTTGATGCTTTAAGTCGTAAGTCTTCCACGGTTAATGTGGCAGTGGTGACCACTCAAACCCAATTGTTGAAAGATTTGCAAGATTTAGAAGTTGAGTTTTTTTTTCGCAAGATAAGCAAGGGATATTGGCAGCTATGACTGCAAAATCGGCATTATTAGATCGCATTAAAGTTGCCCAAGTTTTAGATCCCGAGCTGATTAAGATTCGAAAAAAAAAAAAAAAAAAAAATTTCAAGCGGGTGACCCAAAGGAGTTCAGTGTTCATGATGATGGATCTATATATTTCAAGTCCTGACTATGCATTTCAAATGATGTTGAGATAAGGAAGGATATTTTAAAGGAGGCCCATCAGTCTCACTTCTCGGTATATTCAGGTACTACCAAAATATATAGAGATATGAAAAATAATTTCTAGTGGAGTGGTATGAAACGGGGCATTGCCGACTTGGTGGCTAGATGCATGATATGTCAATAAGTCAAAGCTGAACACCAAAGAGCTGCAGGATTATTGAAACCCGTAGAGGTACCTCAATGTGGGATCGTATATCTATGGATTTTGCGATTGGATTACCGAACAGTCAGCACGGGGAAAATACAATTTCGGTTATTGTGGATCGACTCACTAAGGTTGCACATTTTTTCTACCCATTAAGAAGACCTAGCTAAGTGGTATGTGAATGAAGTTGTAAGGTTTCATGGTGTTCCTATTAGTATAGTATCTTACCGAAACTCTAGATTTGTGTCAAAATTTTGGAGAAGCTTACAACGAACCATGGGGACTGAATTAAAATTAAGCACTGCACATTATCCACAAATAGATGGGCAAACAGAGAGGACTATTCAGACCTTGGAAGATGTGCTTCAAGCTTGTGTCTTGGATTTCAAAGGTAGCTGGAGTAAATACTTAACTTTGATTGAGGTTGCATATAACAATAACTACCAATCGAGTATAGGAATGGCACCTTTTGAAGCTTTATTTGGAAGGAAATGTAGATATCCTTTATATTGGAATGAAGTTGTAGAAAGAAAGATCTTAGAGCCAAAACCTGTACAACACACATTAGAGAAGATTCAATTCATTAGGAAAAGAATTAAAGCTTCTCAAGACAGACAAAAGAGCTGGGCTAACTTGAAAAGAAGAAAATTGGAATTCAAAATTTGAGATTTTGGGTATTTAAAGGTTTCACCAACCCGAAGAGTAGTGAGGTTTGGAGAGAAAGGAAAATTAAGTCCACGTTACATTAGACCATTTGAGATTTTGAGTAGAGTTGGTAGTTTGGCATATGAGCTAGCCCTATCACCACAACTAGCTGGAGTTCACAATGTATTCCATGTATCAATGCTACGAAGATACATTGCAGATCCGGGTCATGTGGTGGAGTATCAACCTTTGCAAGTTAGAGATGACTTAACTTATGAAGAAGTACATCTTCGCATCATTGACCAAAAGGAACAATTGTTGAGGTTCCGATTAATCCTCTTTGTTAAAGTGCAATGGTCACATCATACTCCAAGAGAAGAAACATGAGAAAAGGAAGATGATATGAGGATAAATATCCAGAACTCTTCAAGTTTGAAGGTATGCAAGTTTCGAGGACGAAACTTATTTTAAGGAGGGGAGATTGTAATACCCACAACCTTATAAATAAAATATATATATGTTTAGTAAATGAGGTCAACAAGTCAAAGCTTATTAAAATTTGATATTAGATAAAATTACTAAATTACCCTTCTCTACCCTTAAAGATTAAGGAATCCCTTGGTCTTGGAGAAAGATATCTTTTAAAAGAAGATAAGGGGAGTTGACTAGAGAGAGATAGGGGAAGGGAAGACCTTGAAGCTTGGATCTCCATCTTCTTCAAGCTTAGATCTCTAAGATATTGGGTATTCTAGGTGAGTTTAACCTCTATCTTTTACTCATTATGAGTTGGGTTTATCTTTGGAGCCCTAAGATTGATATTTGAAAATATTAGGGATTTTGACAAGGAGTATTTGGGCAAGCTAAATAGCTAAGATTTGGATGTTTTAGGTAAGTGTGTATTTCTCTCAAAACCATTTTTACCCTATACTATAAATTAAACTTGTGATTTGAGTTGTATATTGAAATTTTGAGCTGCGTTTACTGGAATTGTTGTGAACTGTGTTTCCGGACATGAATTGTTTACTTATATAATCTGGACTGGAATAGTCATCAAGTGTAGAGATGGTAGAATGGCTTGTGGTTGTTGTGTAGGTAGCAGTAGGTCGTGGGTTCCACTTTGGCTGTTAGCAAACCTTATGTTTATTTTTCTGTATGTATTACATGCTTATAAAATGGATTATTTGTTTAAAGAGAGAATTGAACTCCTAACCTCATGCTTATATCAACTTAAGTTCTTCCAACTAAGCCATTTCAATTCCTTTGAGATTACTTCGGTTTAATAAACTATTTTATGATTTTTAAAGAGTTATGTACTAAGAAAATTGTTATTTTGAGAATGGTTTATAACTTGCATATTTCGTAGTTTGATAAACTTATTATCTACTTTGGAAATATGTACTTTGTTATGTGACTTTAAGGAAATGATTTTTGCTACATCGGGCTATTTGATTATAAGAACTATTTTGAGTGTTTGATTAAACTCATGAGGCAACCTACATTTTGTTGTTTGTTTTGTTTGGCTTGGAACGTTCCTAAATGCTCATTCCGAATCGTCGAGCTTGACTCATTCCGAATCGTCGAGTCTTTTGAATTATTTGTTGGAACGTTCCATCCGGCTCATTCTGAATCGTCGAGTCTGACTCATTCCGAATCGTCGAGTCTTTTTGGACCATTATATCGATAATGGCATGTGCCACAGAATATAATGGTGGTTGTAGGTTGCCAATGGGTCATATGTTAAGGAATGAATTGTGCTTTTGAAAGTATTGTGTTATGAAATATTGTTGATGCCCATGTAGCTAAAGTTTCTTGTTTTGTGAGCTTATGTATTGTATGATGGAGTATATTATGACTTCGATATGGTTTAAAGATCAAGTTTTGCATCTAGTTATTACTCTAAAGCTTTTTGTATATTATTGGGGTTACTTGATCCGGGGTTGAGAGGAGTACCACTTACTGGGCATTAGCTCATTATTTGTATTTTTCCTAATGTTTCAGAGTAGTTAAGGACATGTGAATAGCACGAGCACAAGTGGTGGGGTCTTGAAGGTGACTCTTGAAACTAGGAGATTTACTCCTAGTATTGGAGCTTATCACAGACTTTTATTTATTTGGTTATTCTCTTTGACCCTTTGTATTTTTGGTAAACCATTGTGTTTGGTTTTGGTGCTTGTGATTCATTTTGGACACACTACTCTTGATTGTAAATATTTAATAGTGGATTTGATGAGTTTTGAGAAGAACTAGTTGATTATATTTTGCCATTTTAGCTGTGGAATTATTATGTATTCAAGTGTTATTATGAAGGTCCCGAGAGGTATGTATGGTTAGGCTACGTATTGTTACAAGTCCTCATGTAACGATACGGCCGGGTCATGTCCTAGAGGTGGGGCGTGACAAGAAGACAATGGTTGACTTTTTATTACCAGACATTATGAAGGAGATGCTTTTGCAGATTGTTATTCTCATTGAATACAGTTATTTGAAAATGGTAAGTGTGAGGCTGCATGTGTCTTTGTATCTGCATGACAAATGTAAAGAAATGGTGTTGCTACCTTGTTCAGATAATTGAAGGTTACAAATGAATTGGTTCCTCATGACTTCATCAACTGATCTTCAATTCAGAACTTAGATTTATTTGTTTGGTGCTTTTTTCCCCGGCCTTGTCATCACAGATCACAATTGCCTTGTTTCAAAAAATGCAGTGGGTATTCTTTGACAGACAAATAGTTTCTCATTTGCAGGCCATTAAAGATGAGCCCAACTTCACTTGTGAATTGTGAAAGAAAGTTTGGAGTGGTGAGGAGTACAGAAAAAGTTTGGCATGATTTTATGAAATTTGTATAGGCAGAATTCAAAAGGTTTTAATTTCCTGCAACTTGGAGAAAAATATACTGAAATTTCTTTCTTTTGTTAAGATGAATGTGGATCTGTTACATACAAGAAGGGCTCATGCACAACACGCGTTAAAAAAAAAAATGATGTTCAATAAAACCAACATTTTGGTAAAACAAATTAAAATGTAATATTTGAAGAAGTTGAAGTTGAAGTTGAGTGGGACTAATATTTCTGAGAGGGATTTAAATGTAATTGCCAAGTTACCCCAGCTGAAGGTGCTCAAGTTGGAAAATGCCTTCCATGGGAAAGTATGGGAAGTAGCTAGAGGAGGATTTCCTGAACTAATATTCTTGCTCCTTGAAGCTAAAGAACTCAAGAAGTGGGTACTTAGCTCCTCGACTGACTGTTGGCAGCTCAGACACTTAGTCTTCAGATCTTGTAATCGTCTGAAACAGATGCCAAAGGATCTTACAGGTTACAACTTGGAGTCAATTGAGTTGGAGGGGTGTCGCTCTTCCCTTGTCGCTTCTGTCAAGCAGTTTCAACGGAAGAAAAGTTCCAAAAATCTTAAGGTTAGAAGCTAAAGGTCTTTCGTTTTTAATTTTTTGTTTTTCACAATTCACCAAAATATGATGAATGTCTATGTAAGTTGTCTTTGGCAGCCTCATAGTATGGTATTTGTTATCTTACAAGTACTAATGTGTAAAAACAGTTAGAAACTAAAGTGTGACTCAGTCTTAATTTTCTATTTCTTTTCTATTTAATGCTGACATTTTTTTCTTTTACAAAATCAGTTACTATTTCTCTTTTCCTGAACTGACCTCATTCTACTTTCTGCTTTATGTTTTCATAGATTAAAATCCTTGGCACTGAATCACAGAGTACCGATACAGATGTGTCTACAGACGCATTGGGCAGGTGATGGTTATTTCCCAATTCCCAAATATCGAGTGGTTAGGCTTGAGATGTTGTTAATCATTTAGATGGTGTTTAACAGGAAACTTGGGCCTGCGGTCAATTAAGTTTGATAGGTGTTGTCATTCTGTTACTTGTGTTAAGTGCATTCGAGAGTTGCTGGTTGAAATGGGAAACCACATTTTTGAGGTTCCAAGCTACAACATATGGTCCATTCTCAATTATTTCTCCGCTATTACATATGGATGCTAACTTTCTTTAGAAACTTGTTACTATTTATTTTTTCTGATCTCATTTTGTTTTCTCAATTTTAATTTGCACCATGTTTTGTAGATCAAAGTCTAGGGGCCTGAATATGATGAATCACATATGGAAAGGTCCGTAAAAGACGACTTGGTTGGGCTTGCAGTTAACTAACAGTTATGTGAAAACGGTATGTCTTTGTATCTTCATTCACATCTGCACGACAAATGAAATGGTGTTCCATTACGAAGAAGAATGTTTGAGGTTAGAAGCTACATATATCATGCCTCATTCTTAATTTTTTATTTTCTTTTTACATTCTTTGGAAAATCAGTAGTTAATATTTCTTTTTCTGATGATCTTATTTCATTCTCTCCATTTTCCATAGATCAAATTCAAATTCAATGGGCTTGAATATGAGGAATCACCGTATCCATATGTAGAGACTGAGATAACAATGAATTAACTGGTGTTAGAAAAATGGTATATATGTACATAAATAATGAATGACACCTTCAACTTTGATCAGACCTTAAATGACAAGGTATATATGTTGCTAGACTTGCATTCTAATAATTAACTTCATTAACCAATCTTCAATTCAAAATATAGATTTCTTGTTTGGTGCTTCTCTTTCCTTGTTCAATTCCAAGTGCTATCATTATAATAATTGCCTAGCTTGTTTAAAAAAATGCATTGGATATTCTTTGACAGCCAAATGGTTTCTCATTCCCAGGCAGGCGATTAAGGATAAACTTCCTCAATCCAACATCATAGAAATAAGCAGTTTTGAATAGCTCAAGGCCCGCAATGGATGGCTGAATACTACAGTTGCTATCTTTGATCAAGAGTTGTGTGAATGTATGGTGCTATTATATTGCTTTACATCTGGCTTTCTTTTTCTGTTCTGCAAATAATTCTTTGTTTTTATATGGTTTTGCAGAAAAGTTTTTGAACTGGGAAGCTGGTAGTGTTCAAGCTATTGGAGATGTTGAGGCAAGAGGAATTGGTTGGTTAGTTTGTTCTGCCTATGGCTATGGGTGATTGATATTTGATTTACAAGGCGACTATAGTTCTGAAAACTTCTCTTATTAGAATTGATTGCAAATTACCTGTATTATATTGCTTCAAAGCAAAGATTGATAGTGATCTTGGTTTTAAAGAATGGATTTGCTCATCTCGGATTGCAAATTCCTTGTCTTGGGATTTGAGGAGGTTATCTTCGTGCACATTATGAGGGAAGAAAATAGGTGTGCTGATTTTCTTGCAAATCTCGGTCAATGTAGAAATAAGAACGACAGTTCTTGAATCTTGAGGCCCTTCCGGAAGATATGTTGAGGCTCCTGGTTGTTGATGCTAGCGGAGCAAGATTTAGAAGAGTCAGATAATGTCCGCTTAGGACGGTGATGGTTATCACCAAAAAAAAAGAAAAAAAGAATGGATATGCACTTTGGCATTACTACATTATAATCTTATTATAATTGATTGCAAATTACATGTTAGCTAGGTTGTCTCTTTTAATAAATTAGCAAGTTGTTTGAAGCTGATAATAAGATATTTTTTTAACTTAAAAGTATTATTATTTTTCTCTTATAAAATTACTTCCATGGTTGCAAAAATTGCGCCTAGGCGCTAGGCGGTAGGAGGCCGCCGCGAGGAATGGCCTCGGCGGCCTCCTTCGCGGCCGGCCGCCTAGCCGGCCGGCTAGGCGGTCTAGGTGGCCGCCTAACCGGCCGGTTTAGCGGTTCGGCGAATTTTTTTTTTTTTTGAAAATGTCGGAAAACTTTCGGAAAGCATAACTTTTGACTCGGTTGTCCGATTTGGACAATTTTTTTTTTCAAATCGCGTATTTTTTCGAGACCTATACACCGCAATCTGCTAAAGGCGGTTTGGTCCACTAATTTCTCAAAAAAATGCTTCTTTAGCTCTTCATTTTAGTTTTTTATGTATTTAAATGGTTTAAACAATCTTTTGGACAATTTTACAACCACTTTTGTAAATAGTTTTTAAGAAATAACTATGGAAACCTTATATTTTAGTACTAAATTTTGAAAATTTTTAATTTAAAAATTTTTTTTAATTAAAAAAAAAATAAAAAAATAATTTAAAAATAAAAAATAAAAAATCGGCGCCTAGGCGTTAGGGGGCGCCTAACGTTTTTTGCAACATTGATTACTTCATTCATACCCATTTTGTGTCGTGACATTATCACATTATTATGTAAACTTTTTTTTTTTTTTTTTTTTTAAGTATAGCACAAGTTGATGATGGTGTCAATAGAGTACAAATTTGTAGTTGTTAGTAATATATAAACATATTTTTGGATGTCTTATTTGCAATTTTTTTAATATGAAGGCAGGTTTTGCAGTTTTTAAAAAAATAATTTTGTTTATATTAGTGAGCAATATTTGGTCTAAAGTCACCTCCCATTGACTATTATGACATTTTGAATCAAGTTTTAATTAGCTTTATGTTCATAATTTAACGTTATATTTGCTATACCAACACAAATGATATTAAGATATCATGTAAAGAATTCATGTGATAGCTAATATTGTGACCAAAAAGAAATATATTTTTGATCCATGAGTACTATTAAGCAATAGCGATATAATCAATTAAATTCATATAAAATATTTTGATCATATCACATACTGAATTACTAATTTGAGAATGATTACTTAACTAATATTACTAGGTAATAAGTAAAAGAAGATGATAATGAATGTATTCGTAATCATGTATAAATATGTAAGTAGGTAATGGTGAGAATGTGGTTAAAGTGATATATAGCCAAATAGATGATAGATGATTTGTTTTTCATTTAGAAAACAGTTTTTAATAGTTTTTCATTTTTTAAAAAAAAAATTGGAAAATTGTCTCGTGTTTTCAAAATGAAAAATTGTGCTAATAGACATATTTTCTGTTATTCAATTCTCCAAATTTTTAAAAACTGAACAAAATTTTCAAATTCTACTGACTCTATTACAATGTAGTATCTGTTCATAACTACTTTCTTAACCTATTCGAACTTACGACCTCCCATATAAGAGTCCAACCCGAGTGTCATCTGAGCATAATGTGTTTGGCTTAAAACGTGTGTTTAAGCTTTCAATATTAGTTTAAATTATGATTTATTTTAATTATAGCCTGCCAACATTAATTGTCAAATTGTCTTACTTGCCGGTAGTTAGCCTTTCGAATCTCCAATTAGGAATTTTTGAAGTTTTTTATTTTACAAGTTGGCCATATTGAGGCATAATTGTATTAAAAAAAGTGAATAATGTATTCGTATTCCCTTGTGTTGATGATGATGTCAATGCATACTACAAATTTGAAATTGTTAGTAATATATAATAAAATAAATTTGGAGTTGTTTGGATGTCTCATTTACCATTAGAATATGAATATGAAGTGGACTATTATGACATTTCAATAAAGTTTGACGGAGTATTTTTTTTTTTTGTTTTTTTTTGTTTTTAAAGGAGCTTGTGCAGCATTTATTCAAAATATGCTGAAATAGAGTGGGGCGGGTCAAAGTCCGCATACATACTAGTCAGCTGATTAATCGCAGTAGACGGAGTATAAAATATTGAATTCTCAATTCTTGTCCCCCATATTCTGACCCAATAAAATATTTAGAAAGATGTAAATTATAGTGACTCAATGATTCAGACATGGCCAAATATCGATACACACAGGGATCTGTTGGCTTTATATATCTACAAATCTACAAATCTAATAAGAGCGAATAATGTTAGGCCCTTAACTGGAACAAAAAAATGTCGGTACTAATTGTTTCTTAAAATGAATGGTTCATATTATTTTGATTTTAGTATCTTTTAATGATTTTCCTTATTTACCCTCTATTATATTATTTTCTTCCCTTAAATAACCCTAAATTCCGTTAGTTTAAACTTTAGTAACGGAATATTCCGTTAACTATTTATTATTCTTAACATACTCTTAATTTATATAAGGTCTTAGGTTCGAACCCCATCCCAAGTATAATTGACATAATTGTTAAACATATATTCCGTTAACTATTTATTATTCTTAACATACTCTTAATTTATATAAGGTCTTAGGTTCGAACCTCATCCCAAGTATAATTGACATAATTGTTAAACATATATTATGAATATGTTAAAATGTATTAAAAAAATATATAATATAAAATTTAACATAAACTTTGGTCAAATAATTAGCTCGACTAAATACATAGCATTCAAAGTTGAGCATCAAATATTATAAATCAGGAACTACTTTAAAATTATTTGATTTTCTTGAATTTTTTTATTAAAAAAAAAAACAAATTTATGTTAAGTTTTTTTTTTTAAATTAATCTTCTTCTGATTATTTAGAACAAAACTTAATATTTCAATTATGCTTTTGCATTATTGGAATGATTTAGGCCATTATGGTATTAATATTTTTTTTTGTATTTTTTATAATGGTACAATTATACATTACATTACTAATATTATACTATTATTTTTTTATCGGACAATGTTCTTACATCATTGTCAGACCTGCGCGGCCTAACTACAAAGTTGTTGATCATAAATACAATTACACATGGACTCTAAAACGGTAGGGTCATTTTTCAAATAATTGACAATGTTAACATCCTACTAGCTCCAATTGAACAAGTTTACACATCAAAATTTTATCAATGCATGAAAACTTCTAAAAAAATTTGTAAGTTAATTTTTACTATATCATTATATTAATATCTATTGTAACCATATATTTTGAATTATTTATTATCATCCTCTATTAACAGCAATTGTAGCAATTGTTATGGACAAACTCACAAAACAATTTGTCTCAACAAGGAATGGAAATTTAAAAAAAAAATCATTGATTTCATTATTGTTGAAGAAAAGTATGTACGACACTTTATTACTTTTATTAATTAAATAAATTAGTAGCTACAACAAAAAAGAATACATATGTATTTAATTAATTTAGAATTAGATGTCTATAATGCTTTATTTAAAAAAAAATTATTCATTATAAAAAAAAACTTAAAAGAAATATAATTTCATTAGTTATATTATCTTTATTTTCTACAATTCAAAGATTCATTACCTTCAAATTTATTAATTTATTATATTCACTACAATGTTCATTGTCTTCTTTTTTACATTATCTTGTAATTAAATATCAAAGTTATAATACAAAACATGTTATATATATATATATATATATATATATATATATATATTTATTTATTTATTTATTTATTTATTTACCAAGTATTTTATATAAATATAATAAATATTAATATTTTGTTCAATACTTTCACATGATAACATGCGACACACATCTCACAACACATGAAACATGTAGGAAAAAAACTACCACTACTAAATATCAATAGGTGTTTGTACGCTAAAGAGTTCATATTACAACTAAAATCTCAGTCATATACACAGCAAGGTAAATCTAAAACTTCCTACACCATAATCTCATTGCATGATGAATCCCTCTATGCTGCTACCAATAACCTAATTGCACATGAAACACTACCAATAAAAAAACAAAAAATAAAAAAGAAAAAAAGAGGACATGTACTGAAGATGAAAACAATAACAATGCTACCCAAAAAAAAGAATTAAGAAGAATTAGAGAAATTTAAATCAAAAGTAGTATTTATTTAGACTATCGCTTTAAAACTAAATATTTAGACTAGCGTTATTACAAAGTTGTAAACATTTATTTTAGTGACAATTATAATCAATCTCTCATATATTATCTTGCATTTATATACTTTAAATTACCGATTTAAATAAACAAATTCAACATTTATTTACATATGCATGAAAATCTCCTATATAATATTGCATTGATATACTTTGGAATACTTATTTAAAAATAATTATTGGGCATTATCTCATTCGCACAAAGTGCGTAAAAAAACTAGTGTAGGAATAAGAGTCAAATAGGTCACTCAACTACACACTAAATTGCAAGTAGGCCATCGAACTCAAAAAAACAAATGCAATTAGATCTCTGAATAACACAAACTCATGCAATTAGACTCAAAATGACATGTTTACCTCAAATTATGCTAACGTGACGGTTAACGATTTTTAAAATAATTTTAAATAAAAAATTAATTAAAATTATTTTAAAAAAAAAAGAAAAAAAAATAGAACTGCCAGAGACGATTCGTCTCTGGCAGGCTTCGTCTCTTTGGCGGAGACAAAGACCTTCGTCTCCAGCCATTTTCGTCTCCATGGCCGAAGACCATCCTTCCGTCTCCAGCCATGGAGACGAACCCTCTCTGGCAATTCTAGTTTTTTTTTTTTAAAAAAATAATTTTAATTAGTTATTTTATTTAAAATTGGTAACCGCCATATCAGCATAATTTGAAGTAAACAGATCATTTTGGGTCTAATTGCATGAGTTTGTGTTACTCTAGCACAAAACCCCATTACATGTGGTATCTGTTCATATAAACCCAACGAGTAAACGCCGCCCTCACTGAAGCTTGAATCCATGATCTCCCATTTCGGAGAGTCACTTCATGCCACCATAAGATCTTTGGCATGATAAGAAAAACTTAAAGCCATTACTCAAGGATATACACTGGGTATATCTTGCTCTTTTATAATAGTCTGCAAAGTGCAAACCACATAAGCAACCGTTATTTCGTGGAGCAGGGTCTACCATGCGCATTATGTACCCTTTCCAGATGATGTATATGGAGTTAACCTATTATGTAACTTCAGTTAACAGATTATTAATATGTTGTAGTTAACATATTATGTACATTCAATTAATTATTTACAGGTACATAATTTTTTAACTGAATACACACAATATGTTAATGGTAGATACATAATATGGATTAGAGTTCATAATACGCATGGTGAACTTAGTTCCACGATATAATTTACGATATACCAGCGAAATAAATCGCACTAAAAAATGAACGAAATGTACAACTCCAATAATAGCTTAGGGCTGAGATACGACAAAAAGTGAGCATGCTTAACATACAATTAGAGACGAATCGAATCCTACAACTATTATATAACTTAGAAACGAAATGTACACTTTTTCCTAAAATAAAATAAATAGTCTCCCTAACTTGACAATTATATATTTATGTAAATTGGTTATTATGTAGTGTGATAATATTCCGTTACTATTCTAAATAGATGGTCATAGATTCGAAAAGTCTTTTGAGTGATAGTGTTTGAGAAAGCTAAAGCTAACTCAGACTCATTTCTTGCAAATTGCAACAAAAACATAAAGCTAAGTTGTAGAAATTCTTACCAAATTAAAATTAAAGATTGCAATTGAGAGACAGAGAGATGGCTTGTGTTGCTTTAACTTCTCTGATTGGAAGCATTAAGATTGAGTTTGTGAAATCCACCCCAACACCAAGGGCAAGGCTGTGTCTCTATGATCATCATCAACCACTAATCAAATCTTTGCTTGATAGCCTTTCTTTTCTGCAAGCCTTTCTCCAGAACAAATCCAGTGGAGATGGAGATTATGCACTCAGAGATTTAGAAATCCAAATCAGAGACTTTGCACTCCAAGCTGAAGATGACATTGAATTACAAGTAAGCAACTTCCTTTTAGCCCTTTTAGCCAAAGACGCCAAACATGAAGAAGAAGCTTCCCAGGAGCTCCGTCAAACCTTGCGAAAAGCAGCCAAAATTGGGGCAGAGTTGTTGCAGATTATCAACAAAGAAAACGAGCACGAGAGAGAGAGGGAGATGAGTTGTAATGCTTTAACTTCTCTCAGGAAAACAATTGATAATGCTTTAACTTCTCTCAGGAAGATGGAGTACAAGTTATCAATGGCATCGTCTCTTCATGATAATGATAAAGCTGGAATCAAATCTAATTTATTGGAAAAGCTTTCTTCTTTGAAAGTCTTTCTGGACAAGGAATCAAACGGTGGAGGTGGAGGTACTGCCGCAATGAAAGATTTGGAGACTAAAATCAAACACCTTGCGCTCAAAGTTAAATATGGCATCAATGTTCAACTAAACAATTTTCTTCTGGTCAAACACACAGCGTATGAAGAAAAAGTTTCCCAGAAACTCCATCAGACTATGCAAGAAGCAGCACAAAGCGCAGAAGAGTTGTTGAAGATAATCAACAGTAGTAGAAGAAGCAATGAAGTTGATGATGATGAGGCAAATGAAACTCAACCATCAAATACTACTTGGTTAAAACATCATGCCACTGTTGAGTCTGATGGATCCTTAATGGTTGGCCGTCACCATGATTGTAGAGTCATAAAGGACCAACTCTTTTCTTCCCGATATGAGCCACCAAAGTTAATCTCAATTGTTGGAATGGTGGGTATTGGAAAGACTACTGTTGCAAGAAATGTGTATGAAGATCCATCAGTTGCATCACATTTCGATGTAAGAGGTTGGGTTACTATACCTCAACACTACGATAAGAGCAGAATGCTAAGCGACCTTCTTCAGTCAATTACGCCAGAGGAGCGAAATGTAGTTAAAAAGGGAAGCACTCCATATGAACTACAATTGCAGGTACGCAAATGCTTACGTGGTAGGAGGTGTTTAATTGTTTTGGACAACATTATAAGCACTGAAGCTTGGACTGACATCAGAAAGTGTGTTCCTGATGACAAGTTTGGAAGTTGCATATTACTAACCACTAGACACTTCAACCTAACCGACCGGTATAAATACTTGAGGTGCTATACCCATAACATGACTTTGCTAGATTCAAAAGAAAGTTGGGAACTATTTTGTAATAGTCTTTCTATTGAAGAGCACTTGGCCCCTAAATTTGAAAAAATTAGGAACCATGTTGTGGAGAAGTGTGATGGATTACCCCAGTTAATTGTTGAAGTTGCCAAGCGTTTAGCTAAATGTAACAACATACAAGAAGGGTGGAAAAAGATTGAAAAGGAATTAGAGTCATTGGGACTTCTAGATCGCAATGCACTCAGTGTTAGTTACAATATGTTGCCACACCATTTGAAAGTTTGCTTTCTATACTTTGGAGTCTTCCCAAAACGTAAAAAAATTCTTGTTAAAATGCTTATAATGTTGTGGATTGCCGAGGGATTTGTGAAGCTATTGAAACATAAGGAGTTGGAAGATGAAGCTTATGAGTACTTACAAGAGCTTACTGATACAAGTCTTCTCTTAATTGAAGATCAAAGTTGTAACGGCAAAATAAAGACTTGTAGAATGCACAGTGCTATGCATAGCTTCTGTGTAGTAGAAGCTCAGAAAGAAGGTATTTTATGTGCAGTAAATACTCAGCAACATCTAGGATTGTCTTTAAAAGCATTTGCAAATTCCTGTCGTTGGCTAAGTTTGTACTCACACAGTTTTGACTATTATGTGCTCTTTGGTACAAACATCCCTCGCTCCATTTTCTTCTTTCACGAAAATCCTGATGAAATGTTTGTTCCTCCCAAGCTGTTAAGAGTTTTGGCTGTTGATACTTCTATATCACTTCAAAGCGTGCCAGTGCAATTAGGGGGTTTAGTTTTTTTGAGATACCTATACATAACACAATGGTACAAGGATCTAAATGATGTAGTGTCAAATAATCCAAATTTAGAGACACTTGTTGTTTCTGGTAATGGAACACCAACTGTCCATTTGCCATCTAGTATTTGGAAGCCACCACTCTTAAGGCATCTTGAACTTGGCAATTCATTTATGGTTGGTCCTCCAAGTGCATATAAGAAGTATTTACAAACATTATCTTGCATGGTGAGGCCAGTTCATTGCAGAAAAAAGATGTACAATAAGTTCCCTAACATAAAAAATCTGAAACTTTTGCTGAAGGATGACATAGAGCCTCCCAGTCACATTGGAGGGTGTTGCAGTAATCCTATTATTTTGGATCATTTTGACTATTTTAAATGGCTTGAGAAGCTAAGCATCACAGTTTCTATTGGTTGCAATGCAGCCCTTCCAGAACTGGCTAGGTTTCCTTCAGGACTAAAGAAGTTGAAGTTGAGTGGAACTAATATTTCTGGGAGGGACTTGAATGTAATTGCCATGTTACCCAAGCTTAGGGTGCTCAAGTTGGAAAATGCCTTCCATGGAACAGTATGGTACGCAGTAGCTGAAGGAGGATTTCGGGAATTAATATTCTTGCTCCTTGAAGCAAAAGAACTCAAGAAGTGGGTAGTTAGCTGGAATCAGTTTCCGATGCTCAGGCACATAGTCTTAAGATCCTGTAACTGTTTGAAACAGATGCCAAGGGATTTTGAAGGTTACAGCTTGGAGACAATTGAGTTGGAGGGGTGTAACTCTTCCCTTGTCACTTCTGCCAAGCAGTTTCAACAAATGAGAAGATTCAATGATTTAAAGGTTAGAAGCAGCTAAAGCTTTTTTCATTATATTCCTAGCTAATTTTTATTTCTTTTCTATCAATGTTGTCATTCTTTACAAAATCAGTAAAAAAAAAAAATTTAATCACTTCATTTTCTGGATTATTTTTCACAGATCAAAATTCTAGACCCTGGATATGATGAATCACAGAAAACACTAACAGAAGTGTCTATGTAAGATGTCTTATATATCCAGCCTGAATATGATGAATCAAATATGGAAGGGTATGTAGAAGACGATTTGGTTGGGCTTCCTTTTCTTGAGCTGATAAAACTGAAAGAAGTCTCCAATGATTCATATTGGAAAGGCACTGACAGAAATTTTAGTAAGCTAAAGTTCTTGTTCCTTAGAGCTAAAAACTTCGTTTGTTGGAAATTTAATTAAGGGGAACAATTTCATTATCTTGATCTCTTAGTCCGTAAAAGATGTTGTTCGAGTTTGGAAGTGGTTCCAACTAGCTTTGAAGAGATCATCTGATATAATGAATTGAGTTAAAAACTTGCTCCCCGGCCTTGTGTTTGACTTCTGCCAATGAAATTAATGATGCCAGCTGGCAAGAAAATTATGGATACAACCGCATTGCTATTCACCATGGTCTGTCTCTTCTCTTTACCAAATCTGTTATCAGGCCATTAAGTTTGTAATTTCTATTAATCCCGAGTACTAATATGCTTTTGCAGATTCATATGCTAACTGAAGAATACCGTTTATGAAATTCCAAACTGGGAATCTGCTAGTGCTCAAGTATTGAAGATGTACCGGTAATTAGAGGAATTGCTTGGGTATTGTATTTCATTCTAATTCAAGGATGTGTTTCTCAACTCATAGTTAGACTATACATTTTATTATTTGATATGTATTAGTGATAAGGACGGTTTTCACACATCCATCAAGTATCAAATCACAGTATAGAGTTAAGATATCGTTTCACTCGAGATGACTCTTGTAATATTAGGAATTGATGCAAAGTGGAGTTAACAGAATGAAATTAATATATATATATATATATATATATATATATATATATATATATATATATATATATATATATATATATATATATATATATATATATATATATATATGTATATCTAGAGAAGCTGTATGTATTTCTCTAGAATCACAATATGAAATTATCTCGCAAAACTTGCACCTCTACAGTTGCTAACAACTCTGCAATTTATTTTTGTGATGATGATGTGTTTTTTGCATTCTTTTTGGTGTAAACAGGGTAGTTAGGAGATTTTGAAAAGGTTTACCAGCAACTTGGAGCATCTTGGTGTAAACAGGGTAGTGAAGAGAATCTTGCCTCTTAAAGCTAATAAACTCGAGCATTGCATAGGTGACGGTGATTTCCCATGTCTCGCGTGGTTAGTCTTGAGATGTTATATATTGTTTGGAAAAGTTCCCTTGGTGTTCAATAGAAAATTTGAACCCGTGGTCAATTAAGTTGGATCGTTGTGGCCCTTTCGTTGTTGCTTTTGCTAAGCATATTTGAGACTGGGAAGTTGAAATGGGAAACGGCATTTTTGAGGTTAGAAGCTACAACATATGATCCATTCTCAATTATTTCTTTTCTATTCCATATGGATGCTAACTTTCTTTACAAACTTGTTACTATTTCTTTTTTTGATCTAATCTCATTTTGCTTTCTCCATTTTTCACAATTTTTTCCATAGATCAAAATCTAGGAGCCTGAATATGATGAATCACATATACAACAACATGAGCCTTTGTATCAGCTGCATGCCAAATGAAATGGTGTTGCAACCTTAGCTTGTACAGAAAATTGAAGGTTACAAATGAATTGCTTCCTCATGACTTCATCAACTCTACTAATCTTCAATTCAAACCTTAGGTTACTCAGTAAATTGAGTTGCACAGCACACGTTAAAAAAAATGATGTTCAATAAAACCAAACATCAGACTTTTTGGTAGAACAAAATTAAGAAGTAAAAGAAATGAATATAGTATTTGATCTGTTATAAAACATGACTAGTTTTCTGGTTTCTTTTTTAGAAAATGCATTTGATATTCTTTGACAGATAAATGTTTCTCGATCATTTACAGGGCATGAAGGGTAAACTTCCTCAATCTCACATAACTGAGAGTTGTGGGGGTTCCTGGTGAAAGTAAGATGCTATTGCAGAGTATCTGAAATATGCTAATAGATGGTATTGAAACATAGGCTCAAGAGCTCTGCCAAATGGACAATATAAAGTTTTGGTAAGCATATTCGAGACTGGCAAGCAACAGCATACGATCCATTCTCAATTATTACTATTTGTTTTTCTGATTTGATCTCATTTTGCTTTCTCTATTTTGTACTTTTTTTTTCCATAGATCAAAATTAAGGAGCCTGAATATGATGAATCACATATAGAAGAGTAAATAGACGACGATATGGATGGTATATGTGTGTGAGGCTGCATGTATCTTTATATCTGCATTTACATCTGCATCCCAGATAAAATAAAATGAAATGGTGTTGCTACCTTGTACAGATAATAAATGAATTGGTTCCTCATGACCTCATCAACTGATCTTCATCAACACAGAACTTAGATTTCTTGTTTGATGATTTTCTTCCCTTGTTACTAAGTAAATTCCAAGTGCTATTAGAATTGCCCTGTTTAAAAAAAATAAAAAATGCAATGAATATTCTTTGATTGACAAATAGTTTCTGATTTGCAGGTCATTAAGGCAAGTCAGATCATTCATTTTAAGACAAAAATGCCAACATGAAAGAGAGGGAGGGAAGAGAGAGAATGTCCAAGTTCGTTTTGCTAATTTGGGGTTTTTTCAGAAAAGTGAGACCCAATGCATTCTAAGGCCAGTCCCGTGCTGCATGCGTGAAGGCCACAATGGCGCCCAGCGGGCGTGTTAATGGTGTTCTTTTACTTTCTCTTTTTTTTTTTTTTTTTTTTTTTTTTTTTTTTTTTTTTTTTTTTTTTTTTTTTTTTTGAAATCAACATTTCTACCATCTTCTCTTTCTTAATCACACTTACAAAAATTTTTCAAAAAAAAAAAAAACTCCACACTATTGAGGCAGCCACGTACTGAATTACTAAACCCGATAATAAAGTAAATGGATAATACGGTAATAAAAGACAAAGAATATATGTCGCGGAGACAATTCTTGTATTGATAAAAGTTTGTAGGAGAATTACAAGGAGAATGTAATATTCAGACAAGATGTAGATGTCCTAACAAGACAAGAATAAGTTATTTTATACAAGCTAGCCCAGTGAACAGAACTGGACTCCACCTACCTTTCAAAAGTAATCATTACTTGAGAAAACGCTCCGCATCCTTTGCGTTCATCTTTGTCTCTGCGTGCTTCTGATGGCGGCACCGCCGGGGGCCGCCGCGCCCCCTCACCGCACTTTTGCTGATATTCTATCGAAATCATCTGAATCCTCGCCTCTCCGGCCGCCGGGGCGTTATAAGGGTATGCCCGCGGTCTCCTTCTCAGACGACGACGTACAACAATTCTTTGAGAAGTTTCGTTTTGCACTAGTAGGCAAATTCGCCAAAAGTCGCCCGCCGATGGCTGATCTTCGCAAGACTTTTGACCAAATTGGCTTCGGTGGCGCCTTCACTCTAGGCCTGATCGATCAGAGGCACATTCTGATAAACTTTGATCATGAGATCGATTTCCAGCGCTGCTGGCTTCGAAAGACATGGTCGATCAAGGGATCCCTCATGCGAGTCTTTCGCTGGACGCCAGATTTTCGCCCGGATGTTGAGTCTCCCATTGTTCCTGTTTGGCTAGCGTTGGAAGGCTTGCCGGCTCATCTCCACGACAAGCGGGCCATTTACTCGATTGCTAATCTGGTGGGCAACCCCCTTAAAGTCGACACCTCCACCTTAGTACATAATCGCCCGTCGGTAGCTAGGGTGTGTGTGGAGCTCAACGTAAGTTTACCTCTCGTCGAACAAGTCTGGATCAATAATGGCTCTTACGGAGGTTTTACGCAGAGGATAGTCCATGAATTTGTACCACCATATTGCTTGGGGTGCCGAAAATTTGGGCACCAGGACTCAGAATGCCGTTCTCAATCTTCAATTCACCGTGATGCTCCCACTGGCCATCAGAATGAACCAGCGCCCCTCAAACAGCCGCATATTGTCCCTCCGAGAAAAAGATGGCGTGTAGTAAATCATTCAGATGAGCCAATTCCTCCGGTAGATGACCGTATCAGGCAGTCGGCACAAGACGCTCCATTGACTACTTTGGTGGCTCACCCAGGCACTCCAGTGGACACGGTGAGCTCAACATCGCCAGTTGACATCCCGGATGCCAACGTCTCTTTTGGGGCCGTACTTATAGATGACCAGTGCCTACGCCATTCGACCACGTCTGATTCTGTGCCTGGCCATTTGTCAGATGGAGATGAGGTCCAGGTTGGCCCTCTCAACCAGGCCTTGTTAGACTCGTGGAGGGAGGACAGCAGGCGTTTCTCTTCCAAATTGGGTAAATCTCAGCCAGAAGCGTTTATTACGGTCACTAAGAAGAAGTCTCGGCCTCGAAAGGATTACTCGGCAAATGTCCCTGCGGTTACAACACGGTTGGCTGCTGGTAAAATCGCTCGTGTCTCCTTCTCACACCGGCTAAAATGAATGTTCTCAGCTGGAACGTCAGGGGCCTACTTACCTCACGGCGTAGGCTCAAGAGATTAATAAGACGTGAGCGCATTCATTTAATTTCAGTTCTTGAACCAATGGTCAATAATGATAGCCTAGACAGCTTTGTGCGGGGTTTTAATCTGGACAATGGCTTCGCTTCTGCTGAGTCAAAAGTTTGGCTGATGTGGTCTGCAGCTTGTGAAGTGGTAGTACTGGCTGATAATGACCAATTTCTGCATTGTGTGGTGAAATATGTGCCTTGGCAATTCTCCTTTCAGTTTTTAGCAGTGTATGCCAAGCACACGAGAGTGGAAAGAGCCAGATTGTGGGCTCAGCTGACCCCGCTCCTGCTGGACACAAATAGTCCAGTGCTGCTTGGGGGCGACTTCAACGTTATCTCCAGCATCTCAGAATATCGAGGCTCCGCTATACCAGACACGAATAATATCTCGGACTTTGCGGATTTCATTAGTGACAACTGTTTATTTGATCTAGCTGTTTTGGGCAGTCAGTACACCTGGTACGGGATGCGGAATACAGGGCCAGTTTGGAAGAGACTAGATAGATTTCTCATGAACCCCTCTATGAGGGATTTTTTCACAGATATTCGGATTAATGTCTTGGCCAGGACAACCTCAGACCATGCGCCACTCTTGCTCAACGGGGAAAATAATAGCTTTTCAGTCTCGAAACAATTCCGTTTCCAGAACATGTGGATCACACATCCAGATTTTATGCAGGTTGTTTCTCGCAGCTGGTCAGCAACGGCAGACGGGGGAGGCATGCGGGCTCTGGCTTATAAGCTCAAACATCTTAAAATTGCTCTGCGGGCCTGGAACAAAGATTCCTTTGGTAACATCTTTGACAGGATCAAGTGTCTAGAGGCAAGTGTGTCTAGAGCAGAAGATGATTATGCAACAAGTCCCACGGGGGACAACCGGGCATCGCTGCATAAACTACAAGCTGACCTCGCCCTTGCCCTTAAGCAAGAGGAATGTTTCTGGAGGCAGAAAGCGCGGGTAAAGTGGCTCAAGGAGGGGGATGCAAACACCCGGTACTTTCACACAATGGTCAAGGATAGGCATCGACGGCAGAGAATCAGTGCAATTAAGTCGGAAGATGGAGTGCTTCTGACCTCCCAAACTGACATCCAGTTGGAGGCGGTATCTTTTTACTCTAAGTTGTTTGCGGCGGAGGACTGTTCGGTGATGGAAGATTTACTGAGTTACCTACCGGATAGCCTTGCGGCATCGGATGCGGATCAACTAGTGACCCCGGTTACGCTAGCCGAAGTGAAGAATGCTGTCTGGAAGCTGGATCCCGACAGTGCTGCAGGCCCCGATGGCTTCTCGGGCTCTTTTTTTCGGCACTGTTGGGCAGTGATCCAAAATGATGTATATCATGCTGCGATGGATTTTTTTGTTGGTGTGCCTGTCCCCCGGGCGGTAGCAAGTGCCCAAATAGTGCTTATACCCAAAAAGCCACACCCGAAATCTTTCACGGACTTCAGGCCCATTTGTCTTTGCACTTTCATCAGTAAAGTGCTTACCAGAATTGTAGCTTCGCGGCTCAGTCCAATTCTCCCTAAACTAATTTCAAAAGAGCAAGCGGGCTTTGTGGAAGGGCGGAGTATACAAGACAACGTTCTTCTGGCTTTTGAGCTCCTACAGTATCTTGACAAGAAATGTCGGGGCTCGAATGTTGTCGTTAAACTTGATATGATGAAAGCATTTGATCGGGTGGCGTGGCCTTTCCTCAGTGCTGTCTTATCAAGGCTTGGCTTTCCGCCTGCCTTTGTCACAATTGTTATGAATAACCTCCAGGCGACGCGGCTTTCAGTTCTAGTTAACGGAGTGAGTTGTGGTTTCTTTCAGCCGTCTAGAGGTGTAAAGCAGGGGGACCCGCTCTCACCGCTTCTATTTATCTTGGTTTCTGAGGCCCTGTCCCGTTCTCTTATCTTAAAGTTGGGTGTTGGCATGGTCTCGCCTTATTCTACGGCCCCCCGCTGCCCTGTGGTTACTCATCTGGCCTTTGCAGACGACATTGTCATTTTTGCAAATGGAGCTTCGGGATCCTTAAAGGCGCTTGCAGAGGTTCTTAAAAAGTATGAGGCAGCCTCTGGTCAGAAAATTAATTTTCATAAGAGTTTTTTTGTCACTGCTCGATCGTGCCCGAGTCACCGTGCATCTGCCATAGCCCGCATCCTTGGTATGCAGCAGTCTTCGCTACCTTTTCGTTATTTGGGAGTTAATTTATTCAAAGGCCGGAATCGCCCAATATTTTATCAACATCTATTAGAGAAGATTGATGACAAGTTAGTATCCTGGCATCGAAAACTGCTTTCCCCGGGTGGCCGTCTTACTCTTATCAAGCATGTTCTGGCGATGATCCCTCTGTACACAGCAGCCTCGGTGATGCTTCCTCGCCAAACGGAGAAAGCTATTGAAGCTAAATTTGCCAGATTTTTTTGGGGTTCAGTGGAAGGTCGTCCGAAGAGGCAT